GGGGGGGGGGGGAACGGTACAGGGGGGAGCAGGCAAGAAGTTTGCAAGGAGCTAGTCCCACTGCTACTGCAGCCTTGTGGGAGGATGCAGGGCAAGGAGCCCCAGGCAGGCTCCACTAGTGCTCCACCTCCAGGAGCCCAGTGCAGCAGGCATGCAGCCTAGAACCACTGGGGCCAAGGCAGGAGGTACTGGAGCCACAGCAGATGGAGCCTGCCCGGCTGAGCTGTAGCAGCTGCTAGGATGAGGGTGACCCTGTGTCTGGCTGTGCTGCTCCGATGGGGTGCTGGGGAGAAACGGAATAAACAAAATTTGAACTCAAAGGAGGGCTCAGCTCAAAAAGTTTGGAAACTGCTGTTTTATAGGGATGCTGTAAAGTAGTGGTTTTCAACCTGTAGTCTATGGACCCCTGGGAGTCTGCAGACTAGCTAAAGGGTCTGCAAAAGATGACTATGATCAATCAAAAGTATGCGACTACCCACACTTAAAATTCAAAGGGGTGTACATCTCCATTCAAAATTTCCAGTGGAGTCTGAAAATGAAAAAAGGTTGTAAACTACTGTAAGGAGTTTGAGGTTTAGAGGAGAGGTTTTGCTTCTACTCACATCTCTGCATTTAGAAGCCTGGGGTGGGGTAATGTCTAGGGCTACGCAAAAGAGTATCACTTTGTTTCGACTTCTGTTTCACCTTTTTGAAGGGACAGTGTGTCATTTCGAACCGCTGTTCCATTTCGTTTCATCAAAGCTGTTTCAACGTTTTGCCCATAAGCTGTAATGGGGAATCATGAAAATGCCATAACTTTGTCATTTCTTGCCTGATTCACATAAACGTTGCAAGGATAGTAGCCCGTTCTAAGGGTATGAAGCCTGCCAAGTTTCAAGGAGATAGGTGCAGGGGTTTCTGGGAAACTACACCTCAAGGTGCTGACAAGCAAAACGGGTGTCACTTGCTGGCAGCAACCTCCTGTAATCCCTTGCACAGATCTGGGGACCCACGCCCCCGGGAGGGCTGTTGGGTTGTGCCGGACTCCTGGCCACTGGCACCAGGCAGCAGCAGCCTCCTGTCATCCTGCATGCAGATCTGGGGGCCTGTACCCCCAGGAGGGCTGTGCCAGACTCATCCCAGGGGTGTGGGCCCCCATATCTGCCCTTGGGATGACAGGACGCTGCTGCTGCCTGGGCCCAGCGCCAGGAAAACTGGTGCTGCCACTAGCTTCAGGCAGCAGCAGCAGCCTCCTTTCACCCTGCATGCAGATGTGGGAGCCCATGCCCCCAGGAGGAGTCCAGCAGCACTGGGAGGGCAAGTTAAGCTCTGTAGGACTGGCGAAGCTGCTGGGAGCGCAGCCCTAGCTCTCCCCACCTCCTGCTGCCAGGTTGCACTCCGAGCAGCTCCACCAGCCCCATGGAGCTCAGCCTGGCAGCGAGAGGCAATGCGAGAGCCAGTAGTGGAGCTGCTCGGAGCACAGCCCTGGCCAGTGGCTCTCCCTCTCGGAGCACAGCCCTGGCCAGTGGCTCTCCCTCGCCTCCTGCTGCCAGGCTCAGCTCTGTGGGGCTGGCAGAGCCGCTCAGAGCTCAGCCTGGTGGCAGGAGGCAAGGAAGAGCCAGGACTGTGCTTTGAGCAGCTACACCAGCCCCACAGAGCGGAGCCCAGTGGCTAGAGGTGGGGGAGAGCCAGGGCTGTGCTCCATAGGGCTGTGGAGCCGCTCAGAGGGTAGCCCTGGCTCTCCCCACCTCCCATCACTGGGCTGCTTCAAAACCCCAACCGTTTGAAAACTTTTGAAACATTTCAAGTACCCTCATTTCGTTTCAAAGCTGTTTCAAAGCCTTTTGTTTCGTTTTGATTTGCTGTTTCGAGCTCGAAATGCACTAAAACAGCTTCAAAATGAAACACTTGTTGAAATTTTGCAAAGCCCTAGTAACATCCAATAATGTCACTGAAAAAAATACAAGACAAATTCTGAATTTAAGTACAAATGTAAAAAAGCAAATACTAAAAGGAATAAAACCAGAAAAACTCCAATCCTGTAGCTCAAGGGACTGATTTATGATGATCCTGGGAAAAAAATTGGAGGCAATGTCCTCCATTAAAAGATAACAGCAAAGAAACTTCATCTCCTGGCTTCCAAGCAAGATCTGTTGATCTAATGGAAATAATATAAGAACTGTGAGCCAAAGTGATTGAAGCACTCCTGACACTGGCTGTAGGGAGGGAAGAATAATATAATAAATTGCCTAATTATTTACTCCTTAGAAAGACATTATGAATAAACCCTGAACCACAGTATTCAAAAGAGCCTCCTTACAGAGTCATTACAACAAATACCTCACCCAGATTTACAAGTATCCTTTCCCCCCATATATATGAGGAGAAAGGAAGCAACATATAGATTTAAATACATAAGACCTATAAAATCTTTAGAACAGTAATTTCAACAAGGGTGCCATGAGATCTTGTTATGGGCACCACACATAGTGGCACAGTTAAATGTCCTACACACCATTTACAAGATAAACTCAGAATTCAAGAGTGTCAGGTATCCAGGTTGTAGCTGTATTGGTCTAGAGGAAAAGAATCAAGACTCATAGTAGACATGATATATTTTATTAGACCAACAAGATGTTTGCAAAAACATTCTGTAATTGCAAGCTTTTGGGCACAAACACCCTTCAGGCATTGGACAAAAGACTGTAAAAGTTCTCCTGAGTAGAAATGAAAGTTCGTATTTCATAGGATTTCACAGAAGAGTCAATAGATAGAAAACTCCTCTGGGCAGTTAGTTCATAGCTGGTATGAAGGCTCTCACCTCCTGTGACGTTCTGTGATTATGCAAATTACCTTGAGACAAAGGCAGAAGCAGGATCTCAGGTGGTCACAGTTGCTTTCTGCAACTGTGACCACCTGAAATCCTCACAAGAGATCCTTACAGAAGATGAGAGGCTTCATACCAGCTATGAACTGACTACCCAGAGGAGTTTGCCATCTATTGACTCCTCTGTGGAATCCTATGAAATATGAACTTTCATTTCTACCCAGGAAAACTTTTACAATCTTTTGTCCAATGCCTGATAAAGGGTGTTTGTGCCTGAAAGCTTGCAATTACAGAATTTTTTGCAAAAAATCTTGTTGGTCTAATAAAATATATCTCTACTACAAGTCCTGATTGCCTTAGAGATTTCAAGATAAACTCAAGATTTCACATAGAAATCTATAGTGTCAAGAACATTGTGACCTGTGGTCTCAGCTCTTCACAATTAAAGAATTACTCTATCTTTTCTGTAGACAAAAAAAGAGTGGAGCCTAAGAGGTACCATTTTCTGATGGTTGTCTCGAGTCTAACAAGATTGAGATCCACTGCTTTAGAAATTTAGCTGGGCTACTGCAGTTTGATCATAACGTTATACTCAAGCAGATCGGAGGTTCACCAAGTTAAACCAAACCCACAGTCTTGCCCATGCTGTTGATGCTTTGCAAAATGTAAGCAGCTTAGGGACAATAAAATGAACAGTTTTCAGCTGACTAGGAAATGGAAGATTTCATATCCTGTTTAAAACCAGGATCTAATGGAAGATCGCACATGAGGACTTAAGATGTGAAAGCAGCCACAGGTACTCTTATTTTAAGTACCTACGGAAATTAAAGCACTTTGCAAACTATATATATCTACATCCCATGGCCCAATTTAATGACCTTTATCTGAAGCAACAGTTCCATCACTCTTCCTTCAACACATTCAAAATAAAATGCTCTCCACTACAATCAGGTAGTTGATGGGGAAAAATGAAGTAGTGGTCTGCTCAAGCTCCATCTGTTATGACAGCCACAAAGAGAAGCCATCCAAAATATGAGGAAGATAGCATCTCTTCTTCACATCTGTCCCCCCCCACTCCCTCACCCTCAATTTCTTCATGCAGTAAAATGAGCCAGCCACCAGCTTTATAACACACCTTGATCATCAAAGAAATAATTAACATTTATGATTTAAATGGTCATCAACAGGCTTCAGATTTAGTATACCTATTGCAAACTCTGCAGTTACCCAAATTACATCGCTGCATTCATCACCACCAAGTTTGCAGTTTTAAGGTTTTCTTTGTACCAAAAGCCCCATTCTTGTTCAAGGAAAACTGAGGTTCCAGACCACCAAATGCTAACTTATCTTCCCCTTCCCACCAAAAGCACCAGCTTTCAAAGAAACTATATCATCCTGTCCTTTCCATCCCCTGCACTAAATCATAACTCTTTCCAAAAGAAAACTTAGGGCTTTCCAACATGGACACACACATCACCTTTGGTTTAAAATAGTAATACATATACCACTTTGTATCCAAAAGCAACATTCTAGGATTAGCATTTTATAGTCTAGTAAACAGACAGTTAATCCTGTCATTTCATGGCAGGGGAAACGCTCTTTAAATTTAGGAACAGGCCATCTGGTCGGTCTTGGTCAAATCCCTTCAATTCTATGTTTATTTTCCCACTGAACCTACCTGGTTTAAGACCTCAGAGTTCCTATGCAGATGTGGCATTGTTCCTATCAACACAACCTGAGCTCTTGTTCAGACAGATGACCATGCAGCAAATTAAGCAAGAAAACATTTATCATACAGGATCCACAGAACCCAAACAGACCAGGGTTTTACATTTTTTTTTCCCTATAATCATTCTACACACTTTCCTATTGCATATGTGCACAGCCATGGCTCCTTAAACAGCCTTTGCTTCAGAACCTATTACAATGCACTGTGATGAAGATTTAAGTATCCTGCAATGCAGGTACCTGTTGCAGAACAATGCTTAAGCATCCTAATGATAAACTTCATAATGCTTTATGAATATGTGCGCTGTCATTCTTAATTTACAGAAGAGGAAACTAAGGCCTGGAGACAGTAAATGCTTTGTCCAAGGTCTCACGCAGCACATAGGAGACCTGGGAATTTAGGTTTCCTGGCTCCCAGTTTAACATTTATAGAGGTCAAGATCAGAGGTTCCAGCTTACAGTGCTCCAACTCAGTACTAACAGCTTTCTAAAGCACAGCCTGCTGGGAGCCAGAGGTATCCACATCTCACCTCTACACAAGTGAAGTTGTGCTCTGGCAAGCAATTGCCTGAATAGCACTGTGGAGCTCCAGAATTCTTGGCTCTCAGAAACTTTCATCTGTTCAAGGTGAAAAATATTGTTAACAGCCAGATGAGTGCAGAGAGTTGAAGTTGGCTCTGTCATCATCCCTACTTTCAGCTTGTATCCCTCCTTTAAGCCAGCTGATGCCAGCTTTTAAAAGGCTGAAAAGATACTGAACAGTTTCGAAGACATGGACCCTTGCCCTAAGATCACCTGCTACAACTGGGAGTCAGCCCAAAACTCTGAATGTGGCTTGAAAAATCACAAGGTGTTTCTTTTTTAAAAAGAAGCTGGGTCCTTATTTGCTTCCTAGCTGTAGAGGGGGACCGTTTTCAAGTCCTGCTTTTCACAGTTAGAGGTGGTTAGTTAGGATAGTCTGAACTTAAGCAAAAAGCAGGGCAAGGTAGCACTTCAGAGAGTGACCAAAGGCATAAGCTTCCATTAGCAACAACCTACTTCACCAGATGCTGCCCTGCCTTGGTCCAGTAGGTTGTTGCCAATGAAAGCAAGTGCCTTTCTGAACCAGTCAGTCTCCAAGGGCCCTGCTTCACGTTTCAAATGAAATCTGGAGAGCAATCCACTACAGAGCTCTTACATGTTTTCAAGCACTAATTTTATAGCCGCTTGGCTCTTTTTATAGCTGGATGGACATTTTTATCATGTGATAATTACTTCGGATGTGTGGCCAGTCCACATATATCGCACACTTCACCAGCGAATTGCATAATTACTGTGCACGTGTGGCCAGCCTAAATTTACTGCATGCTTCCCCAGCGAATTGCATAACGCATGTAACGTGTAGCAGGGGCCCAGACTGGAAGGAAGTGCTGGCTCTTCGTCTTTGCTCGTTTTTTGCCTGCAGAAGCCTCCTGAAGTGATTCTTCTGTTGCAAAGAAGAGAGCAAGACCCCAGCAAGGCAAAATGTCCCTGATGCTGCAGCTTCCTGCCCCAAACCTCTGGGGTGGCTGCGGGCACACCCAACCCTGCCGGCCTGGTGCAGCACCCTCGCAAGGCTCCCTTGGCATCCCAAGGCACTTACTACACCCCGGCGGAGAGCGGTTGCCCTCCACGTCCAAGCAGGAGCAGAGATCCCCCACCCAAAGGCCCTGGGGGGGGTGTGAAGGTCGCCCCAGAAAGCTGAGGCCAGAGAAGCACCTATCCCCCGGGGCACCTGAGAGCAGGCTGCGCACGAGCGCCTACTCTCCCGGACGCCCCCGCTGCTTGGGACTCTGCTGCCCCCTCCTGGAATGGGCTGCGGCAGCATCACGTGACCTCCTGCTATTCCCGCTCGTGGTTGTTTGAGCCTGCAGAGGCGCCGTACGACCTCCCCCCCCCCACTTCCGTAGCTGCTACAGAGCGGCGAGCTAGAGCGTCTCCCATCTCTATGGTCGGCGGTGCGATGCGGTCGGTTAGTTACGTGCAGCGGGTGGCGCTCGAGTTCAGTGGGAGCCTGTTCCCGCACGCCATCCGCCTGGGGGACGCTGACAATGACACGGTACGGTATGGTACCACAGAAGCGGGGTGCTGGTGCGAAGTGAGGGAGGCGGGGGGGGGGGGGGAGACTGCGCGCATGCGTATTGAGGGGTGAGGCTGGGAGCATGCGCAATGTGCTGTGAAGGGAGTTCACGCATGCGTAATGTCCTGCGAAGGGGGATGTGCGCATGCGTAGTGGAGGAGGGGCTGGAAGAGTACGCAGTGCTGCGAGCTTGGCATGGGTGGGCGTGGCTTGAGGCAGGGGTTGGCACGTGCTGTGCTTGGTGCCAGATGCTGCCTTACAGGGCCCCCTGCCTTGTTGGGAGGCCTTGCTCCTACCCCCAATACAGCTGGTGCAGCACCAGGCACAGGAAGCAGGGGGACACACACGGCGCTGGGGGGAGTGGGGCCCTGAGTGGGCCGGATGGTAGGGCAAGTGGAGGCCCAGGGGACATGTGCCCCCCAGGCCTCAGCTTGTCCCCCACTCCCCTCAGCCACTGCTCCTGCCTGGGCTCTGCTCCCTCCCTCCCTGCTGGTTGCTTCAGTCTGTCCCTCCCACAGCGGGGAGGGAGTGGGGCAGGGGCAGGCCCTGCACAGCTGGGGTCAGTGCAGCATGAAGCCAGGAGCAGCTTGGGGCGGGAGGGAATGCATGGGAGCATGTGTTGCATAAATTGCTGATTTTATCCCCTGGAGGCTAGTCCAATTCACCTCTAGAAGAGAGTCACACTTTCAGGCTGGGTCCAACCCTATTTTATTGCTTGCAAGCAGGCCGACAGAGGAGCTTGTTGCTCAGATCAGTGTCGACCCTAAACAAAGAGCGCACGTGGCTTTTATTGAGCTAGCATTTTTTTCAGTTGACGTGTTACATTTTGATTGGTCATTTCAAACCAAAACCTGAGCAACCTATAAGACATACATAGTGGGCTATCCTGTACCATGTGGGTGGAAAGTTACAGAATGCAGGGGTTAATACTAAAACAAGGAACAAAGAAACATAGAGAAAAGTAACTATTTTTGCTACACATGTGCACCTGGATCTGTACATAGGCTGGGCTGGGCTGGGGCCAGGCCACGCTGGGCTCTTCCCAGTGGGAAATCGAGCCAGATAGCAGTGCTGGGAGGGGAGCTGCAGGCACCTGAAAATTTGCCTTAGCCCCCCAACCGCACTTCCCAGCGCCACCACAACCTGGCTTGAGAGCAGAGTGGCCCAGCCCCTCCGCTGGCAACAGCTCAGTGCTGCCTTCCAGCTCTAGCCTGCCCTCACTGGGCACATGGCCCCCACACCCTGGGGTGGGGAGAGAGCAAGCTGGGCTGGGCTGGGCTGCACTCAGGGCGGGTGGAGGCAGTGCTGGGAGAGGGGGTTGGGGGAACACCAGAAAATTTTTGGGTGCCTGCAACGTCTCCCCACTGTAGCTCTGCTCCCAGTGGTGCTGCCACCTGGCCCAACCCCCACCAGGAAGAACCTGGCACAGCCCCAGCCCACAACAGCAGCCAGCCGGGCTGGCATGCAGATCCAGGGGTGCACACACCCCATGCCCTCCCAAGGTGCCTGCCCCCGTTCTCCTTGCCCCCTGGACGAACTGCTCACAGCTCTGCTCTGTGCCCTGCCCAGGCTGGTAAGTGCCTGCGCCTGCTCCAGCCCCACTCCCTCCCTCACAGCTGCTGCAGCCGCCTGTGCTGCCCTGCATTTGGGGGGATGCATGCCCCCCTGATCTGTGTGTGGCGGAGATGGCTGCCATTGCAGGCTGGCGTTTGTGCCCCGAGCCCCACTGCAGCTGGCCTGGGAGTGGATGGACGCCATGTGCGTCCAGCCGCTGGACGGAGCCTCGTCCCCTGCCCGCCTGGCAGCTGGATGCATGTGGTGTCAGGGTGCTCCTGGGCCAGCTGCAGCGGGGCTCAGGGCACAAAGCCCAGCCAGCAACAGACGTTGCCTTCACTGTGTGGAGATGGGGGGGGGCATGTGCCCCCCGGTGCCTCTGCCGGGATGTGCACAGCAGCCGGAGCCCCTGTCCCCGTGACCCTGGAGAAGCTTCCTGGGCTCAATCCTCCCACCACCCACCTGGCCGGGGCCCCACATACCTCACCCCTGCTCCCGCCTCTGCCACAGTGTCCCTTACTACAGGGGCCTTGAGCTGGCCCTCACCCTTCCCTCCCCCACAGACTGACCTGCTGGGCTGGGGTTGGGGGGTGCACTCTCCCCTCTTTGCTTTCCAACCTGCTGCTTCTAGGTCCCCTTATGTAGGGACTTTGGTCTTTATCTCCATCCTGGGTGGCTCTGCATATGTGTGTGTTTGCATGCTTCCCATCTCTAACCTCCTCCCTTCTGCAGCGGAACGAGCTGGTGGTGGGGGACACCAATGGGAAGCTCTACGTGTACAAGAATGACGATACCAAACCCTGGACCGTGCGTTCATGCCAAGGAATGGTCAGTTGGAGCTGAGGTTCTAGATTCCCTAGTCCCTTAGCAGCCCATATGGATTTTCTGCCTGGGAAGTTGTGTGGTAGTGTCAGTCCCAGGGTGTATCAGCAGCCAGCATGGGCTCTGACATCTGGTACAACTGCAGGAGGCACCCTTCTCCCCCCACAAGCTTCTCTGAGTTGCTGGGCTGCCTAAAGCCCTAGGCAGCCACTGGTGAGATCATGTCCTGGCCATGCCATTGCACTTCTGCCTGGGCTGAGTGTTTGCCCCCACAGCTTTGCATGGGTGTGGGTCTGGTGTCTGGAAGCTGAAGCTAGTGGTGGTGTCAGTCAGAGGATGCCAGCTGTGAGGAGGACCCCAAGAGGGTGGGGGTTGCTTCGGAAAATTTAGCCTTGTGTGCTGTGCACTTGTCCCTAGTGACTTGCCTCCCTCTTCTCTTCTGCAGCTCACCTGTGTTGGCGTCGGGGATGTGTGCAACAAAGGCAAGGTAAGAGCATCTGGCCCCTCCCCAGTTACATGTGCCTTTGTCTGGGAAGGGGTCCACAGCCCAGAGTGTGGGGCTCTGGCACGTTCTCAGTGAGAAGGGTGATGTTACCCATATTACAGGTAACCCTGTGCTACAAATATGAGGCAGAAACGGGTCTGCAGCCCAACCTTTTATTTGCTTGCACCTTTAAAACATGAAAACAGACATTTACCCCAAAGTCTGTCTGGCTACTGGCAACAGCACACACATAGTCTTACCTATACCAATTGGGGAGACTCAAAAGGTGGGAGAAGGGTGGCTTGCAGTTTGGCAGTAGGTCTTCTTGAATTTGAGTTTTCCAAATTTCCATTCAGTTATGCCCCATATTTATAGGTGGCTGGTTTTAATATTCTAATAAATGATCTCTGGTTGGTTTTATTAAGTTTCTTTGTTTTGCTGGAACTTCTGGACCAGATCTCTTGTGCACTTGGAAGGTATCAGTTAGTTGGGATTTATATTCTTGGGAAAGAGGGAGGATTTCTCCTTTCCCCATTGTGGAATGCTGTTCCAGTTCCTTCCTTACATTAGTTTATGGTTTTCTCTAATTATCTAAGAATTTTAACAAAAGTATATCTATTATAGCAAAATAATATTTAATACATTTGGTTACATCAATCACTACTACTGTTTTAAGATTATATAATGTGTGGGCTTCCCTTACCTCCTTTCAGGCCTTATGCTTTGTTTAATTGTTTGATGGTTTCCTTTACTTGCTGACCAAGTTAGTTGTCACATCTGCCAAGGTTCATACTACAGTTACTCAGAAACAGGTTTTGGGCCTCCTGCTTTCCCTTCCCTATTTCTGGGAGAGCTTACATGGTCAACTGAAGGACTCTCCCCTGATTCATGTGTCAGCTGAGTCCCACTGAAAGGCTTCCTCCCCACAGCCTCTCAGACCCTTCCTGGAGAAGCAACATAGTAGCGACTGGTGCATCTCCACAGGCTGGCACTGTGCAGCAAAAATGGCCATGGGGCTGCCTGCCCAACCACTGAGGTCCACTCTGTACAGGGTCCTGCTGCAAGGCTGGTTCCCACATTCTATTCAGACTTCTACATTGAGACCTGCAGGGCAGAGTGGAGAGAAGGCCACCCCACACAGCAGGTATCTCTGGGAGTGATGCAGCAGCCCTTGCAGGGTCAGTATCTGGGGAGTGAAACCTGACACCTGTGGATTCCAAAGACCACATGTAGGTTCTCCAGCCTCACTGCTGCAGCAGGCTCATAACCCCTTCTTACTCTGGAAAGGCAAGAGCCATGCTAAGCAAGTAGGAGGCAGCTAAAGCTTCACCTGGCAAAGGAGACTGTATGCTGCTGCTGCCCCATTTCTTGTCAGCACAAGCAGGATCTCCCCTGTCCTGCAGTGTGCTCGCCAAGCTCCCCACCATTGGCACACTGCAGTGACCAGAGGCCTTTTTCCCCGCACCTCCCAGTGTCCATCTTGATGGTCCTGCCCCTGTGTCAGACAGGTACAGGCCATTCTGCCTCCCTCATATAAACTTGGAGCCTCCTCTCCCCTCTCAGAACCTGGTTGTGGCAGTGAGTGCTGAGGGTTGGTTCCATCTCTTTGACCTCACTCCACTGCCCTCAAAGCACTCGGAGGCCTCCAGCCACCCCGAGCCTCCGCCGTCGGATGAGCAGAGGCCAGTGTTCAAGCAGCACATTCCTGCCAACACCAAGGTCATGCTGATCAACGACATTGGTGAGCAGGGCTGTAAAAGGGCAGGGAAGGCTTGTGGCAGGGGGTCAGAGCCCAGAAAGGGCCTTGTCATCTCTCGGAGATCAACCCCAAGTGCCAGGGGCTGTGGTGGGGAGTTTGGGGATCACAGCCCTGGGCTGCATCTTGCACAGGATTGTGAAGGTTAGAGGGATCAGGCCTGCTTTGCATGGGGCTCAGAGGGGGAGACCAGGTACCAGGGCATAAAGGGGAAGGGTTCTCTTTCCTGGTGAGGCATATGTTCCACCATGGCCCAGCTGAGCCCTTGAATAGAATCCTCAGGCTGTTGGCGTGCTACAGTACATGAGCTGTTAGAGGGGCTGAGGTGACTATCACCAAGGCATGTTGGGGTAGCACTGGTACAAGTGAGGTGTAGGTGACTCCATGCCAGGGCTGCTGCAGGCTGTGAGACTATGGCATCTTGACAGACCCCGTTGCTGTCTCCCCCATGTCCCCTGCAGACGGCGATGGGAAGTGTGAGCTGGTGGTGGGTTACACCGACCGTGTGGTGCGAGCTTTCCGCTGGGAGGATTTGTCTGAGGGCTCTGACCACCACTCGGGGCAGCTGGTCCTCTTGAAGAAGTGGCTACTAGAAGGGCAGGTAGGAAGCAGTAATTCTGTGGCTGGGGCATGTCCCTTTGGGGGGTGGGGGTCTCAGGATGCAGTGTTCCCATGTGTGGGGGGCTGTTTGGGGATACATGCAGTTGTACTGACTGCTCTGTTTTTTGGGAGCTGTTCCCCCACAGGGCATTCCTCTGCCCTCGGAGAGGGCACTTGCTTTACATTGTTCACTGGTGCTTTGGGAAGCCTGTGGCTTCTCTGCTCATAGCTGTTCTTGTTGCTCATGTGCGGGCATAGGTGGATAGCCTCTCCGTGAACCCTGGCCCCGATGGCGCCCCAGAGATGATGGTGTCTCAGCCAGGCTGCGGCTATGCTGTCCTCCTCTGCACCTGGAAGTTGGAGCAGCAGCAGCAGCCTGCAGCAGAGGGGGGAGACAACTCTGCAGCCAACAGGTGAGAGGTGTGGAGATCAAATGGGAAAGATGGGAGGGTGCAGTTCCAAGGCATTCCACAAGGTGGCACACTGCAGCACATGGTCAAAGGCTGTTTTCTGCCATCCACCCCATGCCATTTGCAGCTTCCCTGGCTGCTGTTTCCACCTGATCTAGGGGCATCTGCCTTGTGCATGGGACCTCCCTTTCTTGCTGTACCAGAGGCTGAGCACTGGCTATGAGCATTTGCCTGCTAGCAGAGCAATGAGGGGTCACTCCAGTGTGCACAGGGCGTAGGGGGTAGGGGTGAGGGAAGCAGATGAGAGCCCCAGGGATATCAAGGGTTGGGGGGGAGGTGCAATCAGTGTAGGGGTGTGATCTGGGGAGAGGCCGAATCCAGAGCCCCTTCATAGGTTATTAGCATTAAGGTTTTCATGTTTATTTTCGTTCATGTCCGTTGCGGGGAAGGTTTTTATCGTGTGCTCGGCATCAGAGGTGGGGAAAGCCCCATCAGCCCATCCAGCCTCTCCCTGGAAGGTGGCGAGACTGGTCTTTGCAGAAACAGACTAGAGTGGGCAAAAGAGCAGTGTCTGCCTCCATCTCTCCTTCCAGTGAATGCAAGCCAGAGACTGGAGGGTCCCTGCTAGGGATGTTCTTCTTTCCTTCCTGGGAACTGGCATTTCATTGCCTTGTTTTCCTCTCTTTCAGCTCCCTTCTGAGTTGTCTGGGTTCTCCCTCAACTTCATTCTACTGTATTAAGTGTTAGCAAATCCCCATCCTACCCCAGCAGGGGTCCTGTAGATAGACCAGCCCCATTTCCTATTCCCCACTCTTCATTGATTGGGACACAGCATGCGTTCACTCTGTGCACCATCTCCCTGCCCCTGCCTTGGATGTGCAAACTCCAAGGGATGACTTGGCAATTCTGGCTGGCTGGGAGCCCTGACCTTGTCCCTCCTATCTGCCTATCCCTAGGGATGCTCCGGTGCGTGATGTTATTCTTCACCAGACATCTGGTCGCATCCATAATGAGAATGTTTCTACCCACCTCATTGGCAGCATCAGCCGAGGTAAGAGGCAGCAGCTGTGCCCCAGGAACCCTGGTTCTGAACTGAGGGGCTCTGATAGACCAGCACGTGAATACATCCAGGGTAGAAACAGGTATCTGAATGTTAAAACAATAAAGGCTGAGTAGAGTAGGGCTGAGCTTGGCAGTGGCTTCAGCCTGGGAGTGAGCACATGGCCAGAGGAACCACTTCCCTCCACAGATTTTGTGGCTTTGTGCTAATTTCCCTGTGTTGCCAACTGATCCTCTTCCCTGTGGTGCCTCCCCTTGTTCTCACAGGCTGAGTTCAAGCTAAAAGAACAGACACTTGCAAGGCCCCTGTGCTTACCCTCCCCTGGGATGCTAGCTTTTATTTGTAACAAACTTCAACCCAAATCCCCACAGGCCAGCAGTAACCATGTCACGCAGAACCCAGGCAACAGCAGGATGAGCCAGCTGGTCCCTTATCATTGAAAATTATATGTTGAAAATTACTTTGGGTTGTAATAGAGTGGAGTTCCCTGCAGAGGAGGACAATCAGTTTAGAGCTGTTAGGAAGCAGGGGTAGTAACAAGACAGTGAGATCACAACCAATAACTGCTATATCAAATGGGTATTCTGGGCAGGGGGGGGGATGGAAATGGGGAGAAATGAGGAATGCCACATTCCTCCTGCTCTGTACCCATGTATCATAATTCCTTTTGGGTGGTCACCTGGCTTATTGCTTGGTGGTCAAGTACTGTGCAGATTTGCTGCCTAATCTAGAGCCCAGTGAAGTGCACAGGAGGCCTTGCATAAGGTCGCTAGAGTGCTATTCAAATTACCAGTACTAGTGATGCGCTGGGCCTGACTTCTCTGTAGTGCTGCTCTCTGGCTCACACAAGAGCAGCTGCATCACACTCAGCAGAGTATCTCCTACTTCACACCTGCATTTGTGAGAACAGGGTCGGACCTGTTGCTTCTGCCGTAGTGTTGACCCTTTTGCCTGGGGACAGTCTCCAACCCAGGCCATTCAGTTGCATTTCAGAGGGATTGGAGGAGGCAAGCCAGGGTGTTGGGTCCTGATTGAGCTCCAGGCACATTCTGCCTCCATATGGGGCTTTGAGGAGAGGGCATCTTCCTGGCCAGGGCAAGAAGGGAGTTGAAATATGTCCTTCAGTGGGAGGCTAGGGAAGAAGGGAGTTCTCCGTCCTTGGACAGGGGGCTTGAAGAGAAGTGGAACAGCTGTTCCAGACACCCTAAGAGGTGGTGGGAGCCTTGGGTCACAAGGGTAGGAGTGAGCAATGTTCTGACAACAAACAGAAGTACCTTGGCCACCCCCGTCTGAGCCCAGTGGAGAGGAGGGCTGTAGAAGCCAGGAACATTTATAGAGGACCCAAGCTTGGGACCACAGCTAGATTGAAGCTGTTCACTCCTCTGTTTTCCAATACGTCATCCACTTCCAACTAGAGGGAAAAGACTAGAATGATGACTTCCATTCCCTCACCTCCCCCAGACACATCAAAGATATGCTGCTCTGGCTAAGTGCACCCTGACTGACCCTGGTCCTGGTGCTCCATTGAGAAGGGGTAGGGACTGAGGGGGGTGAATATTGAGGCTTTGGAGAGGCCACAGCCAAGTGTGAGGACTAAGGTCTGGGGAACCTGCTCATAAACAGACACTCAGACCCCACAGTTGAGGATGGTATTAAAATGGGACTAAGTGAAATGTATTGGTACTACAGGAAGACAGAAGAGGATGACAAGAATGAAATGGCAGACCTTGTCTGGTGGAGAGGGGTCTGACATAGACTTTTTCAGGAGTAGACCCTCTGAGGGAAGGCAGTGGGTGGTGGTACAGGTATAGAGATGGGTGCACAGTGCGAACTGTGTAATAGGTTTTTAGTGTACTTTGAGTTGCCAAGTGTTGGCACACAACCCACAAGGGCCACTTGGCAGAGTGTTGGAAGTGCAGTTGTATATTTATATATCTAGAAGTAATTATTTTTGCAAAAAAATGAGGTCTATGGTAGGCTGCAGCATAACCTGCATCTGCTTCTGTTCTGTGTTCACAGGCTGCCCCACAGCGAGCAGTGGTTCGGGCCTCTTCGCCCTGTGCACTCTGGATGGTAAGTTCTGCTGCTACCTTTGGTCACAGTCAGAGAAGGAAATGCCCCTCAAGTGCAGCAGGGTCTGGGGTGCAGTCCTGAGGCACGTGGGAGGCTGGATTCAGGGCAGGATGGAAGTAGATGTTTGCAGTGAAGGCTGGGGAAGTTGGTTATGCATGAGTATTGTTTCTCAGTCTTCTCACCCCCCACGGGGTTTCTTATGGGTAGAAATCCCCCTGTCTTTGCCTTCACTTGAGATCTTGTGGCTCCCTGTGCACTGGAGCTGAAAAAGGCACGACCAGGGAGCAGGCCCCAATCCAACTACTGACAGGAGCACATGCCTGAACAGAAGCACAGGCCTAGTCCCATTAAACTTTAGGCCCATGTTGACTAGGGCCCTGTACTGCAAGGTTTTGTTCCCCATGGAGAGACTGAAGTAGTTTCTCTCAGTTCATTATTCACAGAAGTTTCCCTAGGGGGTGCCTTGTACAAGTGTTAATTGCTGGTATGGAATGATGCACTCTGTGACCAAGCAAACTGAGGGAGGCACCCTCCTTATGCCCTGGGAGGTGCTTGATGTAGTTGAATGCAGCCAGATACTAGTGGATACTAAAATGTGGGCCTGAGAGCCACGTTGTCCTTGTCGTGCCCCTTATGGGGAGACAGTGTTTGGCTATATGAGCAGTAAGCAAAGGAATTATTTAGGCAAGTTGTTCTCTGCAGCTCTTTAGCTCACAGATAGCCTAGGCTGCCTTAACAAAATGTCAGCACACAGGCTCTGCCTCATTCAGGGCCTGGCTCAGCAGTCCTGGACAGAGAGGAATCATTTGGGGTGGGGGGCCTCTCATGGGCCTGCCTGCCTGCCAGACACTATCCCATAACAGCATGCCCATGACAGCTACAGCGATGGCTGACATAGCAAAGGGACATTAGGGAAGTATCCCTCATGTCTTAGTTTCTGTGCAGCCACTATTTGGCAGCTGGCAACATAGAGGGAAGGCAGGCTAGCAGGGTTCCAACCTGCAGGGGTCTTCTTGGGGCTTGGGGGATCCATAGGGCTCAGCTAGGAAGTACTGTCTGACTCTGCATGTTAAGGTTTGGTGAGGAGTTCCTTCGTTCTCTGAGTGCCATCCAGTTAAAAGAGTGGCTCCTGTTTTCTGTCTGTATCTTCAACCGCTGACAGGTTAATGGGTCATTTGTGTTCCCAGAAATGAGATGCACAATTATGTGTAATGTTATAAACCACCATCTGCCTTCCAAGCCTTCTTTTCCTTAGGAGCTTGGGACCTATAGATAGGAGTCAGTTTGTAGGGCCCAGTGTCTGCTGGAGCGGATGCCCTGGCCCTCAATATTCTGAAGAATCCCAAGCCATAAGTCTGTCTTCCCTTCCTTCAGGGACGTTGAAGCTCATGGAGGGAGCAGATAAGCTGCTGTGGTCTGTACAAGTTGATCACCAGCTCTTCGCTCTGGAAAAACTGGATGTCACAGTGAGTTGAAATGCTAATAGGTTTAGGAAGAGGTTGCTTGGGGATGGAGAGTGTGGCATCACCTGGAGGCCATCATTTGCCAGCTCACCTGACAGTATGAAGAAGGGCATTATGGGATTGTCCCACACTCTCCTAGAGAGCCCTGTCATCAGAGGAAACAGAGGCTGTGCTACAGCCCCCAAACTTTGTACTCAGTCACCTGAGGGGCAGGGCCTGTGGCAGCTGCTTTGGCCCTGTGAGTCCAGTATAATGCTGTGTAGTCTCTCCTTTTTCTCGGAGCATTTTGTTGCTGCTCTTGTTCTATTATTAGGCCTTGTTTTTCCTCAAACTATTACGATGCAAAAGGAATGGGATAGAGAAAAAATATCAACCCCCTTAGAAGGCCCCTCTACCAGTGGTGCAGCCTCACTTGGAAACCGTGTGTAGGGCTGGATTCCCATTTATAAGATGTTGCAAACTTAGGGGGTTTTAGAGACAAACAATAAGAAGCATTAAGAACCTAGAGAAACTCTTGGGTGAGAAGTTGGAAAGACCAGGACTGTTACCTCAGGAAGGATGTGACTGATGGGAAGGGATGGAAGCAGGTGTGTTAATGAAAGGTCTGGAGAAAGCAGACTGGGAGCTTCTGTGTCCGCCGTCCTGTTCCCTCCCCCCCAGCTACCAGGTAACACTAGAAGAAAGGGGAATGTTGAATGGAATAACATGGTGGGAAGGTCAGAATCTGTCAAACGCAATGTACATCCCTTGTGATTAAGCTGTGGCACTCGTTGCCACAGGGTAATGCTAAGGCCAAAATATCACAAGATTGAGAACAGGAAGGGACATGAGATCCTGGGCGTTGGAGCTGAAGCCAGTCTGACCAGCATGAGATCCAGGCAGGGGCAAATTGTCTCCCATCTTCCTCTGATGCTGGCCAGTATCCAAGAGAAGGTGTTATGCTGGGCTGGGTGGAGCAGGGGGCTGGTCTGGTATAGCAGTTCTCATGTTTGTACTCTCGGGGAGCCCTCTGGAAGAGGGATGGTCAGGCTGAGGCACTTGGAGGCACATGCAGGTGCTGAAAAATGATTGAGTCACAGTGGAGACAGAGGGAGGGAAGCAGCAGTGAGTAGGAAGTCCAGGAGCTTGTCAGGAAAGAATGTGTGCGGGAGGACAAAGGGATGAGAGCATGAGGGGACGGGAGCAGGAAGCTGACTCTTCCCATCGGTGTCCTGTGTTGTGGAGTAGGTTGAACGTAGAAGGGCCATTGAAGCAAGGGGTCCCAGATTATTTTCCCCTGACAGAAGGGGACGATCTGTATCCATTGTTCAGAGAATACTGAGCTCCTTATGGAGATTCTGGTTATGTCTGAGTGCAGGGATGGATGCTTCTCCCTCTGGGCCTCCTGAGATGGCTGGGGCCTATGCTAATCAGAGACCTTTTCTCCTACCCCACCCCTCTGACTCCCAGGGTGACGGGCATGAGGAGGTGGTGGCCTGTGCATGGGATGGTCAAACATACATCATCGACCACAATCGGACTGTAGCCAGGTTCCAGGTGGATGAGAATGTCAGCGCGTTCTGTGCAGGTGAGGAGGAAGCCTGTCCCATTGTCCCTTGCCTGAGGTACCCAGGCCTGACAGCAAACTGCTGGGTTCCTGGAAACGGGAGGCAGACCCTTGGGGTTTTGGAAGAGGGGATCATAGCATGGAAAGGTTTGTCCTGGAGGTAGGAGAAGACCCCTCGTGCTTCCTCACTCTTGGAGGCCTGTGAGACTGGAGGAGGCCCAGCTGACCTCTGCCGTCTAGCAGGATGAGAGGAAGGTGTGCTGGGGGACCCACCATAGCCCTGAGGAAGTGCAGGTCTCTTGCCACTCTGCGCTGCTTTTGCTTCTGGATGACCTGGTGTGGAAGCCCTGGACCCATCTGGTGAGGCCTTGTCTCATCATGGCATGTTCACCTCTTTCTCTGAGGGACTTCTCTAGCTGTAGCCTGGTGACTTCTACCTTGGCATATGGTGGTGCTCACAGCACCCTGCAGCTCATAGGGCAGATTGGCCTCTGGTTAGGGTTTTGTACCAGCTGGAACACAGGCCAGTCCAGCTGCATGGGGCTGGGACATTTGGTTGCAGGGGAATGGCAGCAGTGTTAATTGCCACTGCTTCCCTACTGCCAAATTTCTGGACCGATGGGGAGACCCATGGGCCAGATTACGTGGTTCCATGGCTGGGGGTTGAGCACCCTTGGGCTACGCCATTGTATTTTTCCTCTCCCACATGCGTCTCTCAGCCTGCACCTTGCATGCCTGCTTCTTCCTCCCCTCTGCCCTTCCATAACCACCAGCACTGCCATGCCTTGCTCTCCACAGGCCTCTATGCCTGCAAAGGCGGCCGCAACAGCCCCTGTCTGGTTTACGTTAGTTTCAACCACAAGATCTATATCTACTGGGACGTGCAACTGGAGAGAATGGAGTCCACAAACTTGCTGAAGATACTGAAGGCCAACCCGGAGTTTGAGGAGCTCCTCAAGAAGCTGGGTGTTGGTGAGTGGTGCCCAGTGTAGAAAGGGCTGGGATGTGGGAGAAAAGTGGGGAGGCTGGGAAGGGTAGTGATGTGCAGAGAGCTGGAGTTCTAGGTAAGTTCTTGGGGCTACAATGTGTCTTGCTTATGGTGACAACCCCTCTCCTTTCATGCAGAAAGTGATGATGCTTCTGCTGTCAAAGACCTGATTCACAAAACCCTGTACTTCCCTGAGAAGCACCTGCAGAACAGCCCCTCGCAGCACCGGGGTCCTGCTGGAGCTGACTCGTCCAACAATCACACTGTTGCCCAGGACTCCGTATAAACCGAGCTGGGTGTGGACAAGCACCTATAACAGCAGTGAGTCTTCTCTAGTTGATGGTTGGAGTCAGGCATGTACCTGTGACTCAAGCTGAGTCTTGCAGCCAGGATCAAAGAGCACCTTCCTTTTCCATCAGCCTCAGCTTCCAGCAGGCTAACAGCAGTTGAACAAGAGACTTGGTAGAACTGAGCCATTGCAGTAGGGCTGGGGTGAGGTGAGTGCTATATTATGAGTCATGGGTTGAGAACGAATTGACTGACCCAATAGCATCATCATCTGCAGGCAAGAAGTCTGGCTTATTCCAGTCTTGGGTTAAGGAGATTTAGTAGTAAACTCTCAGCAGCTGTGTTCTCTGCAGGCCAGAGCATTTAGCTTGTCTTTGGGGAAGTGAGAAGCAGGAGGAGGAAAATAGCAAAATGTCAGTCTAGTTTGTGGGGTGGTGTTTAAGAATGACCTGTGTTAGGGGAAATCTTCTGAGTTCCTAGCAGACATGGGGGAATCAGATGGTGGGAGAAAGGAGGTTTTGGCAGTTCTTTCCCTGTATGAATCTCTGGACAGATGTATGTAACGTTGCCCTGCTCCAGTGGTGAGGGAGAGCATCAGGTCAGACCTGATCTTGCACAAGCAGGCTTCCCTGCCAAGGAGACAGGATCGTGTGCTTACATAGCTAATTGTTTTCCATGTTGTGCTGGTAATGGCAACGTGTGCAAGCCGTGCATGGAGAAAACTGAGAAGTGGATAGCATCGACTAGCAGACCCCATGCAGTGCTCCCTTAAGAGAAAAATGTAGTCTCTCACCTGTGGGCAGGCAGTGAGGGTGTCCCTGATGCTTATTGTCTGTGCAAAGCAGCCAAAAAGCAAGCAGTAAACTGGACTGAGTGTAAACACTGTTCCTGTTGATGTCACTTATTGGACACATTGCCCCTGGGCCTTGTAACTGCCCATCAGTAGCAGCTGGGGAGGAGGGAGTGCTTCTTGTCCTTGCACCGCTGAGCCTGGGAGACCCATGTTGGATCCAGGGCTGTCCCTGGGGGAGGAGGGCGCTGCATTTCCAGGCAGTGCTTCTTTGCCCTATTCAGTCATGTCAGTCCTGGCTTATTAGGCTGGGAGTATCAGGCACACTTGACTTGCTGCCTTATCTGCCCTCCCTGTGAGGTTTTATTTAGTGTGTAATGGCTGGAACTCCCCCACACAGAGTCCTGCATGCGAGTTGCAGCAAGGATCATTAATTTGGCTTGCTCCCCTCAGCAAATAGTAACATGTAGAGATCCCAGCTGCTGCTTGGCAGAGCCTGCCACCCTGTGTTCTGCAGAGCACCCTCAAGCTGCCTCCTCAGGAAGTAGAACTTAAGGTGGGGCATAGAGGGCTGGGCAAGAAGGGAGAGGAAGCAGTAAATTACATCTGATTTTCATACAGTAATCCCAAGCCCTGATGCACAGTCCTCGTCCCCATATCACCAAGCATTTTACAGACAGTCACTGTTCTGCTCCCTATTAAACAGTTGTGGAAACCAAGGGAAAAAGCTCTGGCCCCAGCCCACAGCAGTGAGCCAACCACAGACCTGGAGACCGTGGAGTTTTCCTGACTCCAAGTCCTTTGCTGCCTCTATGAGACAAGGCTGCCTCATTGCTGCACAGCTACAGAGAGAGTGTTTTCATCCACCCTGTAGAGTGCTGCTGTTATTGATACCACTTTCTAAAGTGGCTGAAGTGAATGAAGAGCTTGTCTCACCGATTTCCGCCTCCCTCCCCAGCCCCCATGAGACAGGCTTCTTGAATCGTTTAAGTGCTTTGGAACTGTTTTTCTCTGAGAGTAAAGAAGATTTGTGGTTTAGATATGTTCTGCTCAAACTAAAACGTGGCCTGTTGTTGCTTTACAGAAGAATGAGCTGGGCTGTAGGAATTATCCAGCAAGTGGATGGAGCATTGAGGGTTGTCAGTCAAGGGCTGGTCTCCCCTGGCACATGACCTTGAGGAGTTATATATGTACCCATAGCTGAACACAACTGCATATAGGGACCCACTCTATTTGACACTTCGCTGGTGCTGGCTTAGCTCATGTGGGTCACGGCCCAAAAGTGGATCACAAGACTATATGAAAGGATCATGAACAAGCTTCATAAAATGGATCAACAAACTTTAAAACCTGATGCTCCTTTAAAGAAGAAAAATGTGGGAAACAGTGGGTTTCCCTTTTCAGACTAGCAGAGTTCCAACCTGGTTGAGGGGAGCGGGAGGAGGGTGATCAGGCAGGGGATGCCAAGTTCATGTGCGTGTGCACACTTGCACATGGCAGCCAGGCAGTGTGGAGAGCAGTTTCTGCAGCTCCCTGCAGGTAAGTCTATGGGGAGGGGGGCATAAATGACATGTCAGGGGGATGGGGAGGCACAAGTGACGCTGCCTGCCACCCCATCTCCTCTCTCAGTTAGAGCCATGGCCTGAGGGGAGTAGTGACAGTGCCTGGGCCATGGCGATGAGGTAGAGCTGTGGCCTTGTACATGAGCAGCTGGCAGTGGAAGAAGGTGAGGGCAGTGCAGCTCCCCAGTGCCCCCTGCCCCCCATCAGTTATTCCTTGCACTGCTGGCAGCGTGCCTGGCATGGGAGTTCCAGCAGCAGTGGCAGCAATTAATCTTGCCACTCCACTCTGCCCTCCTGCACCGAGTCCTGCCCACTGGGCTGCAGAGGCAGCTCTTGCCCATGCCGGTCCAGTCAGGCTGCAGTTCCGTGCCCACTGCAGGTGCACAAATCTGTGGGGGGCACGTCTTGTCCCCCTACACCCCCCCCACCCCACACACACGGGGTGGGGGGCAGCGGGTCAGAAGTGAGGGGTGCCAGCAGGGCTGGCAGGTTTGGGGGCTGTGGGTTGGGAGTGAAGGGCATCAGCAGGGCCAGGGGGCTGTTTTCTACTTAAACTATTTACTGGGTCAGGGCTGATCATCAATGTTTACAAATGGGTCCTGGTACAAAAAAAGGTTGAGAACCACTGCTTTAGCTTATGGTTCTTTCCTAGTGAAGATGAGCCCCAAAGAGGTTATAAACTGTGCCAGGATTTAGCACCCTTGTACTGCCTCCAGATCAGCTGTGGACTCAAACACATTTTGTGATGTGGGCATGAGCCTGCTGGCACCAGAAACGAGGCCCTTACTTTAACCACCATCTCCACAGAGAAATGCACCCAGTCATAGGCATGTACCTGCTCCTGCGTACGTTTGTGCACATGGATGTAACATTCCTTCAGTGCACACACCGCAATGTAAGGTACACATGAGGGCATCCCCTATGCAGTAATAGTCATGCGTCTGCCCAGCCCCCGCTCAGTGCCTTGAGGAAGCTTGGTCCCCCGTGTCTCCTGGCTTGCTTTGCTGCAAGTTTCCAACTGAAGCTCTTTCTCTCTCTATTTCCATCTTTTCCACATACAGCCCCAGTCCCCAAAGGACTCCACAGCCTGCTGCCAGGAGGTATCCATATGCCAGTGGTCTGACCCAGCAGCACTTCTTTACCTCAGGTCAGCTCTGGCAGAGCTGTCTGCAGGGGCCGTTAGCTGCTGCCCTCCTCCCCCACTGCAGAGTACCCCCAGCTGCCTACTGCAGAGCGGCTGAGCAGGGTCACCTTGTGCAATCACACAGGAATACCTTACTTCTGGCAGCCTGCTCCAAGTGAAAATCTTTATTAATATGAGAGAGAGAAGCATATGGATGACTGTTCTGATGCCATGTTTACACCTTAGACACTGCCATAAAGATTAATCTGTTGCCAGTAGAGAGAGCCCAGGGTGGCAGCTGTGGGGTGATGACCTCTGAACAGAAGCAAGGAGAGGCTTGGACAAAGGTAATGATGACCCTTTGATCCAGACCGTCCAAAGAGGCTGGCAGTGACAAGGGAAAATGTAACCTACTCAACCTGACTGTCAGCCCAGGGGTGGCCTTGGCATATAGGTCCCTCAGTACCCTCTCCTGGGAAGTGCACGTTCCAAGTGAGGGCAATATTGTAAAGTCCAGCTAAAACATTTTGAGCTAAGGAGATTTCATGAAGAAATAGTGCTTTAGTCAGCATAGCATTTTTATGCAACATTTCTCCTCATTCTCTGTTTGCTGTGATGATACCAGCGTTTTTCCTTTCATCCCTCATCCTTTCCCATTTCATTTGTTTTTCTGGTCTTTCTGATCATTTTCAAATGTCAATTTTTTTGCCTGAGAAAACAAGACAAAGAGGAAAGCAGACAAGAGATGGGAGGAAATAAAAAGTTGAAAATTTAGAAACAAAAAATTCAGATATTTTGGTGTGAAACAGACTTTCCATTTTTCAGCTGGCCTTAGCCCATCCCAAAGGGTGAGTATCAACAGTCAGGCCTGGGTTTGGCCTCTTTCTCCTACTCATCACTGGAATAGGAATGTGGCAGGGTATTTGTATTCCCTTTTCCACATGTGAAACCTCTTCCTTTGACCCATCCCTCAGCCATGCTCAATAGTAGAAGCAGCACACAAGTCTAATTGCCCATTGCCCTAATGTCTGTGTCTGGAAAGTGAATATCCCATAGCCCTGTGTACATTCAGGGTCATATTTGCTACCACAGCCACTAAAATAAGTCCTTACCGGAAACAAGAGCCAGAACCATAGATCTATATTTTTAATTAAAGTTGAGAATCTCATTATCACATGATTCCAGGAGCAGGACCTTTTTGTGGGGTGGGGATGCCAGTTAGCATGAGTCTCACAATAAAATGGTTCAAGTTTACAACATTGCCTCCTTGAATGGAAGGGAGCAGGGGAGCAGGTTATGTCGCTGGATGCCCAGAAAAGAGTATGTGGAGGGCTGGTATTCATTTCTTTCAAAGGGGTCAAGAAAAGGGATCTCAACCCTGCCATTACAATTTGTTGCACTCATTTGGCTGCCCGGCTGTGAGTTGAGTCTGTGATAGAGCTCAGTAGCTTTCAGCACTGCAGGAGAATATGAGCTTCTTTATCTACTGACAGAGAGGAAGAAAGGAGGTGGGAGGGTGTCTGCAAAGGCAAAGTGCAAAGACTGGCAGATTTAAACATAGGATTCCTGCAAGCAGGGAGAAGAGAGGAAGATGACCAAAATCCAAAAAAAGAAACAGGCTGTAGGTGGACTGTGGGTGCCTAAGGTCAAAACTGTGATCCAAAGACCTGCTTAGCAGCCTCCAAGTCCTGGGGGTGCCTAAACATTGCTAGGGGCCTCCCTGTGGGGCCTGAAAGTTTCCAAGGCCTCAAACCTTACAGAACTGCCCCTATGTGGGTACCTCAACTCCTAGCTGTCACCTCAGCCCCCCTAGGGTCTACAGCCTTGGCTTGAGGGGCCTGTTCAAGGAGATACGCTGCAGGCAGTCCTATGATGCACTAGCAGGATTGATTCTCTCAAAATGCAGTCATGGCTGGTTGCTGCTGCTGCAGGAGGAGCTAGCAGTGACCCTTTGTGTCCTTTGTGACCTTTGTGTAAAGGTCTCCTGGTTAGAGGACTCACACAGGAAGCAGGATACCTGAGTTGAGTGTCCTTCTCAGCCTGAGTGAGGGGAGGGGGTCAGACCTACATGGCTCACCCCCTGAGAGAGGGCCAAGCCCACTGGGCCATAGGCTGTTTTGTAGAGAGCATCTTTCAATTGATGTTGAACCACTGGGCAGTAAGAAATGCAAGAGTCATAGGATCAGAAGAAGCAAGCAAGAGGGGGCCCAACTGAGCTTTAGCCCAGTGAGAAGCTGATTGGGGCAGAGTCCAAGATGGATACTGCCCCTGGTCCCAGGATTATTTCTGGTTTTTATCCAATAATTGTTAAAAGTTGGATGCATCAACAGTCCCAGGAGCAGAGACAGGAATCCAGGTCTCTTTCCTTCTAACCAGTTGCCCTTTCCATTGGGCTACAGAATCAGGAT